TCTACGTATTATTAATGAATTGTATTGCTCATTTTGCACACATAAACATTAATTCAGTAAAAAAGACATTCAGTAATAAACAATAATGAATCGTTTGTACATAAGAGAAATGACGCTGTTTACACGATTATGCACGTTGGCGGGCCTTTCAAACCTGTCGAAATTCAAGTTTCCGCCTTCAAAATTTTTATTTATTTATTTTTTGTGTTCCAATAAAATACGTTAAGAATTAAAAACTCGTGAAATTTGAGAAGCTACTATACGACATTTAACTCTTCAATATGTCTTCAAAGAGACAATGATGCAGAGAAAGTGGTGCTAGTGCTTCCAAGCATAAGCACAAGTCACTATCTATCTAGGAAAAGGGTGAATTTCCATGGTCCGGCAATTTCCATGGTCTGGCGCCGGTCAGGTCCCGAGGTTGCCGGACTAGAGAGGTACAACCTGTGTGTATATATATATATATATATATATATATATATATATATATATATATATATATATATATATATATATATATATATATATATATATATATATATATATATATATATACACACACACACATATATATACACCTAGACCCCGACTTACGACGGGGTTAGGGACCCAAATCCAGGTCGCAAGTCCGACATGGTCGTAAGTCCGACATAGATAAAAAAAAAATAAAAATAAAAAATTAATAAAAAATCTACAATGAAATACAGTACAGTAAAAGTAATGAATAATGATGAATGGATACAGTACAGTGAAAGTAATAAATAATAAGGAATGGATACAGTGTGACTGAGCACTTAACCTTTAATGTAGTCAGCTGAATGCACATGGGGCCCCCATAATTTTCTAATTATACATGGAGACTACATTAACTGGAAACGTTTCGGTATAGAAAATGCGTGTGTCATTTAAAATTTTTTATTTATTTTTTTTTTTATCTATATCTGAGGCGGTCGTAAGTCCCGACGGTCGTAAGTCCACGTAGTCGTAAGTCGGGGTTCAGGGTGTATATATATATATATATATATATATATATATATATATATATATATATATATATATATATATATATATATATATATATATATATATATATATATATATATATATATATATATATATATATATATATATATATATATATATATATATATATATATATATATATATATATATATATATATATATATATATATATATCTATATATATATATATATATATATATATATATATATATATATATATATAATCAGAAACGTAACTTTCTTAAAATGTAGATATAAAAAATAATTTGAAGTATTTGTGGACACAGCAATGAAACAATTTTCATACACTGCAAGAGATAATTTAACAGTGAGCCATGATAGTAATGTACAGTAGTATGCACTGCTTACTTCCTTGTACGTACAGTACAGTACATCATCTCATATTGAACCTTACAGATAAGAGTTCCCTCTCATTGAGGAAAATCTAATAAGTGAAGACAGAATACATTAAAACTTTTTAATAATACCTGTAGTATGTTATCATAATTTTGGAACCCTTAATTTTATGCACTAAGAAAGTTCATATTACAACATTAAATTGATGGATGTGCTCTGTAGCTCTTGACCTTAAATGATCATTTAAGTGTTCACATTTAAGAATAACCTATTAGTGTGAAGTGTTGTCAAGTGTTGTTTCTTCAATGTTAACATAAACAAAATTTTGAGATTTAGTGTACACAGTAATGATATAAATACAGGCATTTTTGCTTTAAAACTTAAACATTGTGCAGTGAAGCATTCTTGAATACTATACTGCTTCTATAAAACAAAAATACCATATATTAAAAATTACATGCATCCTTTACATATTTATTCGAAGTTCAACTCTTGTTTTGGGAATGAAAAAAAAAGTAATAGTTGGTAAGCAAGATTCTCATGCAGTCAATATTGTTACCTTGGAGGTCTAGTCATCACCTGATTAATGGCTTCTCATACCAAACACTTTATAGTAGAGGCAGATTTTATATTTTGTAAGCTTATAGAGTGCTGAAAGTTCATGTATCATTAAGATTTATTAGTTTAATTCTTGTAAGGGTGTTTGTATAAGTAAATAAGTACTCCCCTCATATTTATCTTTAGCTCTGAGTTGTCTTATATACAGTATGTAGCCAGGATCACATGTTAATTCATTTTGATGTACAGTATTTCCTCATACAGATAAAACACCACATGCTTTATTTAGTTTCTTATGTCAAAGAATTAAGGGAGTTGTGGTGTTCAGTTAAACTAAAGTGTTTAAGGTGTTGATGTAATCTTAGCCATATAAATAACCATGTAGTTCAGGGTAGAGTAGCACTGGAGCAGTAGTTTTCGTGATGTAGCAATGGCATGTATGTGTCCGTGTGTGTGTGTGTGTGTGTGTGTGTGTGTGTGGCTGACAGTGTCCACCCCACCCTCTTGCAGCTGTGTATCCTGCGCCCGTGTACGGCCAGTACGCCCAGGCGCCCTCACCCCAGCTGGCGCCCATGCCTCACAACAAGGTCGAAGGTAAGCCAACCACATGTCTAGCCACCCAGGTCCACACCCTGATCTTTTTCTTACCTTGTACAGCACTGTATAAATTAAATTTAGAAAATAATTCATATAGAGTAATACAGTACAGTATATATAAACAATACTATAAAGGTAAACTTTGTACTTGGAGTTTTATTAACTGAATGAATTGTTCCTGGTGGGAATTGGTTGAAGGTTGTGGATTGGGAAGATGGTAATTATTAGTTATTGAACTGGTGTCTCTTCCTGCCCAATTGAGTGTGCCGGTGCATGATATTATATGCCCGTACATCAGCCCTCCCGCCTGACCCTTGCATGATTAAAATGCTGTGTGTGCCTTGTCTCACGTTCAATATGTGTGTAGATTTGTTTTATAATTGATTGATTTAATTTTTGGTCAAACCTTAAGGTATTTCGATTTTGTGGTTGATGTTAGTTAAGGTTGCCACACCAAAACACCTGAAGTCAAGTTTAGTTTAATGCACATAGACCAACTTATGCCCTTAAAAAGGGTTGGATATTATTACTTCTTAAATTCTACAATTCGGAATAGCATTAAAATACCACTAAAATATGTGAATAATGAAAGTATCTTGTTTGAATATTAAGCTACAGGTATTACTCATTGGATGTAATAGAATACATGTACAGTAATACTTCATGTTTATGCACGGTTGTTTCTGTGAAGCATGAATTAGCATGTGTGTGAGTTTGACCAGTCATTGATCAATGTGATTTTTATTTTTATTCAATTTTAGGTACTACAGTAATTGACAGTTTTTAGAGTATTTCTAATAATTTTCTATCCCTTTTTTTTTTTACCTTTTATTCAAAATTCCCATTTGCCAAATTATATATTTTAAAGATTTTTCCAAGTGACATAGAAAGCAGATCATCATTTCATACAAGTGAGTAATGCTTTCAAAAAATATAACTAAAAATGTTTATTGTATTTTAAAACAATGATCCTCTTCATATTTGATTTTAATTTTCACAAAGAGTATGTATAATTTGGATATTTTTTATATACCATACTTCTCTATGCTGTTTGTTAGTGTCCCTTGAAATTCTTTGTTCCTTATCTCTATCCAAAACTTTTTTTTACCAAATGTGTCACGAGTTCTGAATGGTATCCATGCACATTAATAGAATGATGTGTTTATGTCCTAATGAGACAGTCTGTGTAAATAACTGTGCTCATAAATGTAATATACAATTGAAATAATGTATTATCAGTGCAGAGAGAACATTGAAAATAAATAGTCATAAATAAGTACAGTAACAAAATGAAACATTGTGTATACACTGAAATAAAATGAGTGTACATGCCAGTGAAGTAATGCCTGTACTTACTGGCTGTTGAATGCAAGAATCTTGGGATCTGCACCTGCCCAACCAAGGAAGAAGCTTGCAAGAGGGAAAAAGAAAACACATTAATTTATGCAGATCATAAACTATTCAAAAAAATTTATTCCTAATTTTGAAGAATCTGTAAAGTTGTTTAAAATGACATTTTGCATTAGCTAAAGTATTTATAATCAGTCTTATAAATACATGTACGTATTGAAATATTGGGAATACAGGTACAGTATAGCAAAAAATATTAAATGCCAGGTAGCGACGTTTCCTCCTAATATTACGTATTTAAGTAATTATTAGATGTTTTAATTGCCTCTATGTTGGCCTGTCAAATTAATGCTAGGCATTTACATACCTAGGTATAAAGCTAGACGTCGCATTCTGGACTATATTACAAAATATATTTTAGCTCATTATAATTCTTAGTAATTGAAAGAAATACCTAAAATTCACATGCTACCACATAGCCTGATACAAGAACAGTGGAAAAAAAAAATGTTGTTCTAAAATGACATTTTATGTGCCATTTTGGCACTATATTTACAGGGGACCAAAATTCAGCTTAATTACAGTTATACACCTGTGGTGTAATGGTCAGCAGGCGACCTATGGTGTAATGGTCAGCATCCTCACCTCGCAAGCGAGTGGACCCGAGTTTGATCCTCGGGCAGGGTGAAACTATGGGCAAGTTTCTTTACGCCATTTGCCTCTGTACACCCAGCAGGAATGGGAGCCTGGATGTTAATCGATTTGCGGATCGTATTCCTGGGTGATGGTTAGCCAGTGCAGTTGGCGAGCTGTCCAGTCTTCTTGGACTATTCCGTGACACTGGGTCATGCAGCTCGTTAACTAAGGGTGTGGTTGTTGTGTTGGCGACAGCTTCTACCATACACCTTAACAAATTCACACCTAGGAGGCCCTTGAGCCAGCCATCCTCGATTTCGAGGGGCTTCCATTTTGGCACTATATATATATATATATATATATATATATATATATATATATATATATATATATATATATATATATATATATATATATATATATATATATATATATATATATATATATATATATATATATATATATATATATATATATATATATATATATATATATATATATATATATATATATATATATATATATATATATATATATATATATATATACAGTGACCCTCGCTTAACTAACACCGTTAACGTAATTTCGATTTACTAACTGCCTTCCATATGATCTTCAATTCGTTAACTAAAAAATATATATATTATATATGGTTTTGGGTATTGGTTCCAGCTCACCGAAAATTTCAAATTCAACAAAAATGGTAGAAAGTTCACTTACTTGAGGTGTGTAAGGTTCTCTGGATGATGATGATGATGATGATGGATTAGAATGTGGGTGGATAGAAGGAAGAAGAGAAGGCATTGGGGTGGGAAGAGAAGTCACCCCATGGTGCCATTTCACCATAAAATTTAGCTTCGTTTAATTCAAGATTATTTTTAAATCCACGCTGCACTGCATTATATATTGTCAATATATAAAATATATTTCAAAATGGACCAATAATTTGCTTGGAAACACAGAAAAAGCTGTTTAGTTGAAGAGAGTCTCAAGCAAGATGTTGCCCTTCAGTGAAAACAGAGAGAGACTGACGCCTGTTTGCTGTGTTAAGAGGCTGATGTCAAGATTAAACTAGTCATTTTACCTTCAATTTGTTCAATAATTGTTAAAATGACTAAAAATTGAATATTAAACTTTTAAAATTATTGAATAGTATAACTTCTTTGGATATTTACAAAAATAGGGGAATTTAGTTTCTAGAACCAATTATTAATGTATTGGCGGACTGATACTAAAGTTGGTTGCCCGGTCAGTGCAAGCGAAAATATGTTGAGGTTGGTTCGGTAATAGTTCGTTGTTTTATTTTTTTCGTTAACCTAATTGAAGATCCTATGGAAGGCAGTTCGTTAATCGGAAATTACGTTAACCGAGGTGTTCGTCAAACGAGGTATATATATATATATATATATATATATATATATATATAATGTATATATATATATATATATCTTGATAAAATCAACGGAAATGGAAACAACGGATATCTTTAGTTTCGCCTTTTATTCAAGACATCTTATATGTATGGATTGGATCAAAACATTTTTAAAAAAGAAAATAATCTTGTTGGTGCATTTTCTCCTCGTGATTTTATCAAGATTTATCTATCCACGCTTTCTGTGATTTATATATATATATATATATATATATATATATATATATATATATATGTTTTTATATATATATATATATATATATATATATATATATATATATATATATATACAGTGATCCTCGTTACTATCTTTTCGGTTAACTAACAACCTGCTGAACAGATTGGAGTTCATATATATATATATTATATATATATATATATATATATATATATATATATATATATATATATATATATATATATATATATATATATATATATATATATATATATATATATATATATATATATATATATATATATATATATATATATATATATATATATATATATACAGTCAACTCGCTTTTACGCTGGGTCCCACTTAACGCTGCTTTCTGACGCTTTGCACCCTGTCGAAATTCGGAATGCTTACTTTCCGTGTGTACCTTTACGCCGGAGAGCGACGAGAAGGGCGCATAAGGTCGTTTCAGTCATCAAAACATTAATGAAGTTTTCACTCCGCCACTCCACCACAGCCGCAAGTCAGTGATAGGATATGTGTGAGTGATATGGACTTATATGGACTTTGAGGGTTTTGGACAAAGAGGCCCGTGTAAGCCTCTGTGGGATAGTGATACAATTAATACAAGTGATACAGGTGAGGGCCAATAATCCTCTCATCGGAACCAACTCCCATCCCCGTGTGCCCAGCCATCTTTCTACTAATAAGTGTTAGGAAAACCTATATTATTGGATATTTCTCTAATTATTAATTGTGTGTGCACACCATCATAAAATTAAGGTAGTTATTTTTTACTACAACGAGGTATTGTGTCTGGAAAAGTGAGTTTGGGGATCGCCCGTCTATATTTCAATTAATCCCATATGTTATGTTGTTCACTTTATGGGCCGCATGAGGGTTGAATTAACTGCTGTATATATATATATATATATATATATATATATATATATATATATATATATATATATATATATATATATATATATATATATATATGTATATATATATATATATATATATCCAAAATGAAACGTGATAAGATAATTTTGATAAAATCACACGAAAATGGAAACAACTGAGTTATTTTCTTTTGATGTGGAATGTTTCTTGATGGACCATACATGATATAGATGTCTTGATTTATATTTAGACAAAGCTAAGTTAACGAGTTTTCGCCGTGGGATTTTATGGGGTCAAGATATTTGATATATATATATATATATATATATATATATATATATATATATATATATATATATATATATATATATATATATATATATATATATATATATATATATATATATATATATATATATATATATATATATACAGCAATACGTAACTGAACGAAGTATAATGA